TTGGTCTTTTCTTTCTTGTTCTGTATTTTTCTTGTTTAATTAATGTTTTAATGTTGAATTTTAATTACAGAAGTAACTGATTACAATTCAGGATTAGATCTGACTTAGGATAGAGTTCTTCATTCCCTGGAGAAGGACATCATGCTCAGTGAAGTGGAGGCTCAGAGAAAAATGGGAAGGCCCTCAACAAGATGGATTGATACAGTGGCCGCAACAATGGGCTCAGGCGTAGCAAGGACTGTGAGGCTGGCAGAGGGCCAGGCAGTGTTTCGTTCTGCTGTACGTGGGGTCACCGTGAGTCAGAGACGACACCTGATGACACCTAACAACAACAACAGAGTTCTTCATCCAGTACAGCCTCTTCTCAGCTGTGCCCACCTCTGCCTGCCCCTGCCCTGCCTGGGCAAGTATTACAAAGCTCTTTAGCTATGCCACTACGTGCTCAGAGGCAACCCACTCCTCAAGCAAGCCTACTGCCCAAAGGTGCTCAGTCCTCTGGCTCTATGGGTCAACATGTTCCATCCATCAGGTACCTGGAGGCATCCAATCCACCAGCAAGCCTCCTGCCTGGAGGAACTCATCTCTCTTGCTCTGTGGGCTGGGAAGCCCACAAGCTGTCTCCTGCCACTGCTTCTTGCTGCCTCTCGTGTTCCAGCTCTGTGTCCTGGGTCTAGGAGGTTCTCAGCACAGAGATCTCAGGCACAAAGGACACATTTCACTCTTGGTTCTTTTTTCTTGGTGGTAGTGGGTTCATCCTTCTCCATCCCTGGGACGGCTCTTTCTAAGCCTAGCGGGATGGCATAACTGACCAATCTGCTCACGAGGGTTCCATACACCTTATCTGCATGGTCCCAATTCCACAAGGGTGCCATGCACCATATCTGCATTATCAGCAAGCGGTCCAATCCCCTTGGTGGGCTACACGCACCTCATTTGCACAGTCCCATTCACTCATTTGTTGAGAGTTAAAGACGATGGCTAGAGAGGCCGTATAAATGCAATCTATGATACCGCAACCTTGAACTCATTGTGCTGAACAAAAGGAGCCAGACACAAAATGCTACGCAGTGTGAATCCTTTTAGATGAAACACTCAGAATAGGCAAATCCATAGACAGGAAGTAGCTTACTGGCTTACAGGAGCTGGGGGAAGGAGCAAAGGGAACTGATAATTGGAGAGGAGCTTCCTTTTGGAGTGGTGACCACATTTTGGATCCTTATTCAAACAATCTAACGCTAAAAATATTTTTGAGACAATCAGAAGATTTATGTATGAAATGAGTAACAGATAGTATTCCAAAATTTCTGGGCCTCCAGTAAGGAGCCATGGTAGTGCAGGGATTAAAGCACTCGACTTCCCAACCAGTGGGTTGGCAGTTCAAACCCACCACCCTCTCCACGGGAGAAAGATGTGGCAGTCTGCTTCCGTAAAGACCGACAGCCTTGGAAACCCTATGGGGAAGTTCCACTCTGTCCTCTAGGACAGAGCTGCAAGTCAGAATTGACTCCAGGGCAGTGGGTGTGGTTTGGGCTTTGCTTCTGTGAAGATTGACAGCCTTGGAAACCTGTGGGGCAGTTCCACTCTGTCCTCTAGGGGTGCTGTGAGTCAGAATCGACTCAACACCAACGGGTTTGTGGTGGTGTTTTTTTTTTTGGGGGGGGGTGTAGTCCTCTCAACCTGCAGACCCAGGAGTCCCAGCACCTCCCTCCCTCAGAGGCATGAGTTTTGTAAAGTGTGATCACGGTTATTGTGGTCATGTCAGAAAAAAACAAACCTGTTGCCACAGAGTGTGACTCCTGGTAACCCCATGTCAGAGGAGAAATGTGCTCCACAGAGTTGTTAATGGGTGTGACTTTTCAGAAGTAGAGCAAGCCTTTCTCCTCATGTGCCTTAGCGTGGATCTGAACTCCTAACCTTTTGGTTAGTAGGTATTTCACTAGTGTCTACCCATTTGTGCCACTTGGGGACTCCCATGTTGGATAAGATCCCTGTTTTTTACACATACATCTTGAAGTGTGTAATGGTGAACTGTCACAAAGTCTAGATCTGATTTAATATACTTAAGTCGAAAAAGAAGATTCAGCAAATATGGCAACATATCAATAATTTGTAAACTTAGGTGATAGGGAAAGACCCCTATTGGTGCAAACAGTTAAGCATTCAGCTACTAACAAAAAGGTTGGTGATTCAAACCCACCAGCCGCTCTGCGGAAGGAAGACTGGGAAGTCTACTTCTGCAAAGATTTACCATCTTGGAAACCCAAGGGGGTTGCTATGGGTCAGAATCGACTCAATGGCTTTGAGTTTGGTTTCAGTTTGATCCATCTGCAGGCCTGGCAAATTTGCTCCCCTAAAGATTTCAATGGAGCTCTGGTAGCACAGTGCCTAAGGCACTTGACTGCTAACCAGAAGGCTGGAGGTTCAAATCCACCAGCCACTCCTCAGAAGGAAGGTTGGGCAATCTACTTCCGTAGTGAAACTGCCTCGGAAACGAAAGGAGGGGTCGCTGTGAGTCAGGTCCGACTCGACAGCACATAACAACAACAACAAAAGATTTCAAAACCAACTCGCTGCTTGTCAAGTAGATTTCGACTCACAGCAACACTAAAGGACAGCATAGAACTGCCGCATTGGCTTCCAAGGCTATAAATTATTATGGAAGCCGACTGCCTCATCGTTCTCCCCAGGAGTGGCTGGTGGGTTTGAACCGCGATGCGTCTGAGTGCTTTAACCACTGCGTCTCCAAGGCTCTTTCCCACGAAGATTACAGTCTATAAAAAAACCTATGGGGCAGCTTTACTGTCACATGGGATGTTTGAACGTTTCCACAACAAAACACTAAAATAGAGAACATGGCTTAGAGGATCCCTCAAGACCTGCGTTCCCACCGAATCAGGATGTGATTTCAGGACTGCATAACCCAAAGTTCCACAATGGAAAAACGTTAAACACTTCAACATCCCAGAGAGGGACGAGACTGTCAAGTAAAGGTGCAGAAAAGAGGCGCTGGTCCACAATCCAAACCTCCATCATAGTCTGCAAAACTAAGACCAAGAAAGGAGGCCTTCCTCAACGCCCAACCAATCCTTCGAACTTCTAGAGTCCTGCTGCCCTCTTCGCCCTGGTACCCCCGGCCCATCGCCATTTTCCGCGGAACTACAACTCCCATGATGCATTGCGACTACGCACGGCCCGGTGGAGTTGGGCTACCTTCAAGGGATGCTGGGAGATGTAGTTCTGTTTCAAACTTGAGACGCCCGGAAGCGCTAAAGATAGAATTCAGTAATCCGAGATCTGCCTCCGTCTCCCTCAACACTCTAGGATTCTATCCCGAGGAAGGCCATCCCGGCAACACTATCCCTCCAGCGTCTGGAACTCACCTCACAATCAAATACTCGTTCTTTTCGTCGCTTCGACTGTGCCCGTACGCCGGAACAGAGCGCTATTTCCACCCCACCCCACCTCGCTCCGCCTACTTCCGCCCAGCGGAAGCTACCGGAAGTTAAGTTGCCCCTAATTCCAGAGGTGTTTCGTCGGGCATGGTAAGTCCTCTCTTCTTCTCTTCCTCCCTCCGGAAACCTGAGTGCCAACCCAAGGGTTCCGGTGCATAAAACTCACACGTATTTGGGACAATTTTTGTACGTACTACGCATTTTACTGGGCGGGCAATTTCCTGTTTGATCCCAAGCCGGAGTTTAAGGAATTATCGGTCTCCCCTGGGATTGGGAAGTCCACTTTACCAGGAATATCATCCACTTCTTTGTTGTTTTTAATGCATCTTAAGGAACAATTGAGAAGGAAGGACGCCCCATTCCCATTTTGTAGACAGAGCAATTGAGTAACGCAGAAGTCAGAGGCGCTCACATCACATTCCGAAAGCAGGAATTTAGTACGGCACCGCCCACCTATCTCTAGGGACAAGGCATCCAGTTCCTGCCAGTTTCAAGATATCTATAATAATAATGATAATAAAAAGACTTGGATATTTATTTATTGAGCTCGGCCAGGCTATTGGACGGTGGGAGGACGGGAGGGGAACGCGTATCGATCCCCTAAGTGCCCCAAGGTGTCAGAGACGCTGGTTTCTTTATAGGGTTCTAAACATTAAGGCTTTCGTCCTATGGTTCCTTTAAGTATTCTGTCCCTTACCTGAGTACCGCCCAGGGCAGGTAATCGAAAGCCCCGCCCCTCGGCCAGAAGCCTGACCGAGTCTGGTTTCTGGGAGCGGGGGTCTCCCTCCTCCCTCTCCCCTTCCCTCTCCCGGCTCCCCCTTCACAGCTGCCCACAGCTGGCCGAGGAGGCCCCTGATTAAAACGAGGGGACAGTGCTCACAGGCCTGGCCAGGTAAGTGAGTATCCCCGGAGCAGAGCCTGGCTTGGGGACCCTGGTGTCCTGACTCCCCGCCCCTCTGGGACCTAGCAGTTGCGGCTTCCATGCTCAGGTGTCCAATGTACCTGTTCCCCCTTCATCCTCCTCCACCTGAGAATATAGGTTCTTGTTTTTGTCTCTTCTGTAGTCTTTGACCTCTGTGGGTGGATGAGACAGTGATTACCCAGAGGGACAGGTGTGTAGTGGAGACTGGCGGGCGGGCGGGAAGGACTCCCAGTCACCAGTTGATGTGTTCACCTGTTCACCTATTGCTTGCTGGGTGCTGGGGCCACGGTGGAGAAAAGACCATCTTGGGAGGCCCACTGCCCTTGCTCAAATCCTGGTTCTTGGACTTCCTTGTAGACTGTGTGACCTTGGCCTAGTCGTTCTGTTTTGTCATCCATAAAATGGGCATAGTAATGGAAGTCTTTGGAGGATTACAATGAGTTGATCTAAATAAACTGCTTATAGGACACTGCCCAGTACCGTATCTGCCCAACGGAAGGCTCTTTTATTGATTTTCTAATTCACAAGGCACACTGTGTAGTCCAGTTGTGGGGACTTTGCCTCAGTCCTCAGGGACTGAGACACTTGTTATCTGTGCCACAGCTGGTTCCAGGTGCCCACAAAATATGAGGGGCTACCCCTCTCTGCTGCTGCTATACCTAGGACTCATCACCTGCCCGGACGCCTCACCCAGCAGGGAGCAAGACCGTGAGTGTTTGGGGAAAGAGCTGGGAGTCCAGACACTGACTACTGCCACCCCCTGAGCCAGGAAACTTGGCCCCAGACAAGAGTCCAGCCCTCTCTCCATCCCATCCACTCGTCCTCCAGACCACGGAGTCTGGGCCCCCTGACCCCCTCCTCCTTCAGACCCAGGAGTCTGGATCTGACCCCCCTTTCTCCTTCAGGATCCCATAGCTCCCCGTCTTTTTCTCGACCACTTTGTCCATGTCCGCAGTCTTAAGGACTCTCCATCTCTCTGTCTTTCCTGTGGGCCCAGAAGTCTTCCTGGGCTCCCCCGAGGCCCAGAACTTCCTGGGCAGCCGTAGACGCATTCCACGAGCCAACCACTGGGACCTGGAGCTTCTGACACCTGGGAACCTGGAACGGGAATGCCTTGAGGAGAGGTGCTCTTGGGAGGAGGCGAGGGAAGTCTTTGAGGACGACACTCTGACGGTGAGGGCCTGGAGACCCTGGGCGCCAAGGTCTTCTGTCTCCTCTTGTTGTTGTTGTTAAGTGCCGTCGAGTCGTTTCCGACTCATAGCGACCCCATGCACAGCAGAACGAAACACTGCCCGATCCCGCGCCAGCCCCACAATCCCTGCTGTACTTGAGCTCACCATTGCAGCCACTGTGTCAATCCATCTCGTTGAAGGCCTCCCCCTCTTTCGTCGACCCTCCACCCTACCAAGCATGACATCCTTCTCCGGGGAATGGTCTTGTCCCTCAACTCACACCTCCCTGGGATCTCAGAAGTTGGGGTGAGCCGACATGGTCTCTCCAGTTGACATGTGTTCCCCCTTCTCTTCTACTGCCACCCTTTCCTTCCAGGAGCGCTTTTGGGAGACCTACATCTACAATGGGAAAGGAGGTGAGTGGGGGCTGGTTCCTCGTTCTGTGTGGTTAAGGCAGCCCCTTTCCACAGAATGCAAGCCAACATCCTCACCCTGAGTGAGGTGCTGAAAGTGGTTGTTGAAGACACCCCCTCCCTACCTGGGGAGCCCACTACACCTTACTCAGAACTGTCTGCAACAAGGGGGAGGTACGGGCAGGTGCAGGCGGGGGTGACGGTCACATCATGGCTTGGCTGGCCTCAGGCGCAGACATGGTGGTCCTCCTGGGCCATTCTTTGGAGTCCAGAGCCTCAGTCCCTTAGACAGCCTGGTTGCTAAGGGGGGCTGTTCCCTAGCAACAAGGGTTGGCCAGGCCAGCCAAGCCAGTCTGGCCATCCTTACCTGACCAGTCCACCCACCACCCCCCTCTGAGTTCTGAAGCCCCATCCTGGCTGCTGCCTGGTTGCTAAGGGGGGCTGCTCCCTAGCAACGGGGTCTGGCCAGGCCTGTCTGAGGAAGTACCTGGCTGGCTTCCCCTCCCCCACAACCCTATCCCAGCCTCGGCCTGGTTGCTAAGGAGGCCTTCTCCCTAGCAACTATGCCTAGCCAGGCCCGAAGACCCAAGGCCTTCTGCCCACTGGAAGACCCCCCTCCTGGCACCAGACGCCCCACCCCCTTGTGGCCTGGTTGCTAGGGGTGGGTGCACCTTAGCAACGGGCCCTAGTTCTGGGCTGCAGCCCTCACATTGGAGCCTGGTTGCTAGGGGCGGTACCTCCTCAGCTGGGGCCTTGTGAGGCTTAGGGGCTCCTTGAATCTACCTGACATGTGTTGGCATTGGAAGAACTCGCCTTCCAGGGCCACTTTGGGTGTGGGGACTCGGCACAGCCAGAGGTTCCCCGCTTGAGGGGCGAAAGAACGTTTAGCCAAGGCTCCAGGAAGTCTCCTCAGGCCGGCAAGGCCTCACGAAGCCCGAGTTCTCCCCGCCTCCCACGTCCCCTTCTCTGTAGAAGTGTTTGCGAAGGGGCCTGCATGGTAGAAACCGGAGCGCTCCTAGCACAATCTGTTCTTTTGAGGACTCCCTAAGTTCTTCCAAGGAGCCCTGAGGTGCAACGGTTATGCATTCGGCTGTTAACTGAAAGGTTGGTGGGTCCCAGCCACCCAATGGCTCTGTGGGAGAAGACTCAGCGATCAGCTCCTGTAAAGATGAAACAAACAACAACAAAAACTGACCCAGTGCCATAGAGTCGATTCCAACTCATAGGAGCCTTATGAGACAGAGTAAAATGGCCCCAGATGGTTTGCAAGGCTGAAGTTCATACGGAAGTAAACTAGACTCCCCCGTGGTTCGCTCCTGGTGGGTTCCAACCACTGACCTTTGGGTTAGGAGCTTAACCACTATGCCACCAGTTCCTCATCCATGAAGGTTACAGCCTAGGAAACCCTATGGGGCCGTTCTACTCTATAACAGGGGGCCTGCTGGGGATAGGAATTGACTCCGTGGCACCCCACAACAACCACCACTCCATTCTTCCATCGATCGATGAACGTTTCCCAGCCATCTGGTAAACTCAGAAACCTTCCCCTGGAATTTAGTCTTCACCTGACTGGAAAAGCCTCACTCCCCAGCGGCCTGATTGGTAGAAGGGCCTGAATTCCAACATGGGCGGGGTGGCCTGAAAAAGTGCAGGACACCTCAACAAATTTGAATTTCATACAAACAGTAAATAATTTTTTTTAAAGTCTACCAAACCAAAAAAAAAAACAATTATTTATGGTTTATATGAAGTTAAAACTCAAACTAAAACCAAACACAGTGGCATTGAGTCAATTCTGATTCCTAGCAACCTTACAAGACAGAGTAGAACTGTCCCATAGAGTTCCCAAGGCTGTAATCTTTATAGAAATCCACTGCCTCATCTTTCAGCTGTTGGGTTTGAACCGCCGACCTTTTGGTTGGCAGCCCAGTGCTTTAATCACAGCCCCACGAGGGCTCCTTTTCCAGTGTAAGGATATCCCAAATCGTGCATGGGATTATACTTAAACTGAATCTGGCAAATGTGACAGTGAGAACCCTAGAAACTGTCAGACTGGAGCCCCAAGAAACAGAGTGGGGACCCTAGAAACCGTCAGAATGGGGCCCCTAGAAGCCTAAGCTATTTGAATTCCCAAGCCCGTCTTCAGCATCAAAATTCCGCTGGCTCCACTGGTGGATGGGTTCTGAGGCGGTGGCCTGAGTCCTGGAACCACTCCCCGTCCGGGGGGGGGTTCTACTTCCTGTAATTTCTCATCCATTGATGAAGCTGTCACAGGCCTTTGATGCATTTGATACAGTGAGTTGTCATAAGCTGTGAGGTAGGGCTGTTCATTCCCACTTCACAGAGAAGGAACCTGAGGTTTCAAGAAGTGAGTGAGGTTAAGTTGACTGAGGTCCCAGCTAGGAAGTGGCCCCAGCTCTCCCTGGCTTCAGAAGGCATACTAGAGACGGGGTGGGAATACTGGATGTCGGGGTGAGCCCCTGAGGCTGTGAATCCCCCCCCCCACAGGACGTGGACGAGTGGACATAGCAGGTCTGGCCGTGGGGCTGACGTCGGGTATCCTACTCATCGTCCTGGCTGGCCTGGGAGCCTTCTGGTATCTTCACTACCGTCGGGGTCGAGGCCACCAGCCCTGTCCCCAAGAGTAAGGGGGTTTCATGGAGGGTGGGATGGTGGTGGAGAGCAGGGTGAGCTGTGAAGAGGGGGAAGGGTCTACCTGAGGAATGGGCTCGGGATTGGGGGGGTCAGTGGGTACTGAGGTAAGATCTGAGGGGCAGCCGTGTGGACGGTACGTTTGTGGGCTTGCTTTCATCCTCTTGTGCTATCCACACTGTCTTTCTGTCACTGTAGTTGTGTGAGTAGACTGTGTCTGTTGGATATATGACAAATAACATTTGTTTTTCAGTATAACTGTAACCAAGTACACTTTCAAAAATTCACCGTCATCAAGTCAGATCCGACTCATAGCGACCCCTCCTTGGGTTTCTGAGGCGGTATTGCTATGGAAGTAGATTGCCCAACCTTCCTTCCGAGGAGTGGCTGGTGGGTTTGAACTGCCAGCCTTCTGGTTAGCAGTCAAATGCCTTAGGCACTACACCATCAGAGCTCCCTGTCATGTACACTGTAGGAGCTAAATAAACATTTACTGTTTTGCCTGTCTTAGCAGTATCAGGTTACTGAATCAGTCACTCACAAGGAGTCTTAGTGGCACAACAGTTAAGCGCTCGGCTGCTAACCAAAATGTTAGCCGTTCAAACCCACCAGTGGTTCTGCAGAAGGAAAGACCTGGCCGTCTGCACCTGTAAAGATTACGTCCTTGAAAACTCTAGGGGACAGTTCTACTCTGCCCTGTAGGGTGGCTACACATCAACTTGACAGCACAGAACTTAAAATACACATCGCTTGCTCGAGGTCCTAGGGAGTGTGCAGACAGTTTGTGCCTGACTAGTAACCAAAAGGTTGGCACTTTCAAGCCACCCTGTGTGCCGATGAAAAAAGACCTGGCAGTCCTCTTTTGGAAAGATTACAGCCAAGATGACCCAGTGGAACTCAGTTCTGTGTAACACACAGGGGTGCCGTGCATTGGAACTGACCTGATGGTGTGGGGTTGGTTGGTTTTCTGTCTCTATTGCTCTGTGGATGTTGTATCTAGTGATATTGTCACTGGGGAGTTGTGGTATGTGTCCTACGCAGGTCTGTGGCAGGTAAGGCGTCTCCAGATGGTGCAAATAGTGATGCGCTCAACTACCAACTGGTTCAAACCCACCCAGACGTGCCTCGGAGAAAAGGCCTGGTGATCTGTTTCCAAAAGGTCACAGCCAGGAACAGCATGGAGCAGTTCTGCTTTTGTGGTTGTCTGCCTGTCTGTGCACATCTGCCTGTCCTTTTGAGCAGCTTTTCTGTGAATATGGCTCGGTTGAAGGTGACCCGCCTTTTCTTCCGCCTCTTCAGCGGGCCTCTGGACCTCGGCCACCTTCAGAGTCAGTTTCCTTGTCCCAAGTCTTATCCAGGGACTTCACCCGCTAACAATGCACGTTCTCCATCCCCAGAGCCGGGCTCATCAGCCCGCTGAGCCCCTCAAGCTCTCCGGACCCGCCGACGCCCCTGCCTCCACCCCCAGGCCTCCCCACCTACGAGCAGGCCCTGGAGGCCTCTGGGGTGCACGACGCACCCCCACCGCCTTATACCAGGTATGGGGCGGGGCTTCTGTCCGGGAGGCGGGTGCAGAGGGAAGGGCTGTATGGGAGGTGGGGCGTGGGCCCGGGGGCGGGACTTGGAACGTTGGGCTTGCGGCCTGGGGCGGGGCTTAGAGCCCGGGGGCAGAGCCGAGGCTATTATCTAGGGGCGTGGCCAGAGCTGTCTGTGTACAGCGTTGTAGGAGGGTGGGGCTTGCGCCCAGAGGGTCGCGGGATTGGTTGAGACGCCCAGGGCGGGTCGGAGTGGTCTCGGTTGTTGCGGGGTGTGGGGAAACAGCCGGGTCTTTGACTCTCCACTGTGCCCCTCCCCTTGCAGCCTCAGGAGGCCTGCTCACTGAAAAGCAGTATTCGAGCCTGGGCTCCCTAAACTGCCCTTGATTCGCACCGGACTCCGGAAGCCTCCAGGCCGTTTAAGACTCCAGAGCTGAGCCGGTGGGCGTGGGAGTAAGGGTAGTCCGGCCTGAGGCCTACCCTTGCACACGAGTTTCCGCCACGAACGGACACACGCATGTCCCGAGCCGGCGTGTTCAAGCATCTCGGCCCCTTTCGGGCCCCTATGCTCTCCTGATCCTGGGCAACCGTCAGCCCCGCCTTTGGGGCAGGCTTGCGCGCGTGGGAACTCGGACTCCAGCGCACGGACCGGTTCTGCAGATTCGTGTGTGTGTGGGCAGATGTGACCCAGCCGTCGCCCTCTAGTGCCACTGGCCACGCACAATGCAGAGCCCCGTGTATGCAGCCGCGTGTCTTCGTGCGCTCCCCGCGCGCGCCCAGGGGCGCTTCGCGACCCTGGAAGAGAAAAGGATGGGGGGCCTATTTGCAAACGTGCTCGTTGGGGGCAGGCTCGCATTGCATCTGGCGAGACTAGATTTGACCTATTCCCTTAGATAAAACATTTTGGAAGAGTAGCCTCCGAAAGCTGAAACAATGCAAAAGAGAAATAAAAATCGGATGAACTGAGCCGCGTTTCCGAGCGCGTCGGAGCTGGCTTTCTGTGCAAACGCTGCGCCCTACACCCCCAGGCCCTGCCTGCGCTCGCTCGCTCTCTCCCTTTTTTTTTTTTGCTTTTGCACGGGATTGTGGGAGGAAGCGGAGCGCAGCCAGACACCCCGCCGCCCGCCCCCCCTTCCCCTCCCCCCTCCCCCAGCCGCCTTGTGCAAAGATGGCTGCACCGTGAGCGCAGAGGAGGAGGAGGCGGCGGCGGCGGCGGCGAGAGAGCGAGCACCCAGCGCCCGCACCCACCCCGGGGCCGCCCGGGACGCCCCTTCCCGAGCGTGCGCCCCCCCTTCTCTCTTGCAAGCACCCGGGCAAAGGCGGAGACAGCGGGGTCCCTCCTCCCCCCTTCCCCTCCTCTAGGGGGAACCCCCCTTCCCCCTCTCCTTGGCTCGGCGGCTGCACCCCCTCCCTCGCCCGCCCCTCCTCCCCTGTCCCCTCCCTCCCCCGCCCGGGGCCTTCCCGGGCCTTCGGCGGCTGCAAAGAAAAAGAGCGAGCGAGAGAGAGAGAGACAGAGAGAGAGAGAGAAACAGAGAGAGAGAGAGAGACAGAGAAGGGAAAAAAAAAGCCGCGGAGGGAGCGGCGGCGGAGGAGAGCGCGCGCGCGCCCCCTCCCTCCCTCCCTCCCTCCCCCTCCCCCCAATTTCCACCGCGGCCAATTCATGGACAGGAACTACCCCAGCGCCGGCTTCGGGGACCCGCTCGGCGCCGGGGCGGGATGGAGTTACGAGAGGTCAGCGAAAGCTAGGTAAGGAGTCGGGGTTGGCCTGGAGGAAGGGGCCAAGGGGTGGGAGCCAGCCGGGCCGGGCCGGGCCCGTCTGGCGACGCGTGCATCGCAAACTCCCTCCGGCTTGCAAGGGAGCGGCCTTCTCCGATTTGCAGCAACGCCGCCGCACCAGTTTGCAAATTGCGAACTCTGCAGGCGCCACCTCGGGCATGCAAAGGGGGAAATGCAGCGGGAAAAAGGGGGTGCCAAACAATTTGGCCACGGGAAGGCCTGGAGGAGAAGGTGGGAGGGACTGGCAAAGCCAGGCTTGGACTTCCCCTCCATCCTTGGATTCCGGACTTATTATCCCCTCCCCCTCTGCACCCCAGATCCAGCTCTTGCAAAGGTGGGAAGGAGAGAATTAGAACGCAGAACTGGGGGGCGCGGAACCCCCCTCCCGCTCCTATTGTTCAGTGACTGCTTGGGGCCGCGCCACCCACCGCCCCCCCCAAGAAATTCCGCGCGCAGAGTGGGCACGGGGCCCCGCCCCCTTTTAAAGTTGGGGTTCCGCGAAGGCGTAGGGGGGGTCCGGCATCTGGGACACGCCCCCTTTAGCTCTCCCACCCTGAGAGGCCAGGACTGGCGTCTCTGACCCCCCCGAGTCTCGCCCACGGTTTGGAAGAGTCGGGTGTTTCCCGGGTGTGTGTGCGTGGTTGTAGGAGCGTGGGTCCCATACGTGCGTAGCTGGTGGCCTGTACACTCGCGAAATCTACCCCTTACCCGCTGTTACATGTGTCGCGCCCTCCCTCTGTACCTGACCCTGTTCCCCTCACCTCACACACCTGGGGTTCCTAGCATGGCTCGGCATGACCCCACGTGTGTCAAGATGTTCCACGTGAAACTCCTCGCTCGGTATCTTTTTTTTTCCCCCCACGGGTGAGTTGCATACACGTCGGTACACATGCCTGGCTTTGCCTAGGTTCGTGCATTCGAACCTGAACCCCAGGGGGATGGACGGTGTTCATGTTTGCACATGTACCTGCAGCTTTGCCTGATCCCTTCCTCTCCCCACCTCTTGGCTCTGCCGATTTGGGGGGCGATCTGCCCCTGCCTTCAACTCAGTCTGAACTACCCCATGAGGTACAGGGCCTAGGCTTCTGCACATGTCTGTAGAAGAGGGGGCATCCACGTGCATCTCTGGGCCAGGCCCCAGGGCCTGGGGGCAGGAGGCGGGAGGTGTAGAGCCCGGTAGGAGGTCCATGTCTTTTTTTATTTTAAACTCTAGGGACTTCCTCTGAATTTTACCTCCTGTGTGCCTGTATTTCGTCCCAGCGTATGATTGTGTTTGTAAACGTGAAGCTCTGGGGCTGTGTTTTCCGGGACACAGGAGAGGGGACCATTTCCGTGGCTTTTTAGTTGAGGGCCCAAATTCACTTTTCCCCTAAAACGCCCAAGGTTCCGTGGGGTAACCTCAGTCAGCTGGAAGGTTCCTCCCCAGCCCCACCGGGGATTTCCTAAGATCCCTAATCCGATAGCTGGAGAGGACACCCTGACATGTCCCCTTTTACTTCCCCAGCTTGGTCTATGGCAGCTCTAGGACCTCGCACCCCGAGACGGACATCTTACACCGCCAGGCCTACGCGGCCCCCCACCCACTGCAAAGCTATGCCACCAACCACCACCCCGCAGGTACGGCCCCTGACCCGCCCCATGCGAGCTGGCCCGCCCTCTGAAGCAGCTGGTTGGCTGCTGAAAGTTCCACCCCTCCTAATTGGTTGTGCCCTGTGCCCTGGCCCGCCCCTTGCTGTTTCTTTTCTGATTGGCTGCCTCTGAGGCTGGTTAATTTCAGATTGGATTCGTCCGCCTAGGCTTTTGGCCCCGCCCCTCTGGCTCTAATTGGCCAAGTCCCATCAGCCCCGAAATCTCACTTTCCGTTCCAGGCTCTTCAGCCGACCTCAATCCCTTCCCTTTGGATTCCTGCATTTCTGAGTCCTGGGTTCTCTGAATACACTCTTCCTGATTAGCTCCAATTCCTACCCCTTTTCTGATCGATTTGCGTACTGTTTTGCTGTATCGTCGGCGCTCCTGATTGGCTCTGTTCCTTTGGTCTTGTTTCCCTCCTTTCTACGGTAATGAGACCATGCCCACTTCGGTGTTGATTGTCCTTTTTTCAATCCGGATTCTCTTAGCTTGACTCGACGCCCTGGAAGATTTTTTGATTTTCTCTTTGCTGAATTGCCCAAACCTTTTGTGTTGTTTTCTTACCACGAAGTTCTTGTTGCTTTCACTTCAGAATTTTTCTCCCTCTTTTTTACAATTTTTTGCCCACCTGGGCTTCCTGCCCTTCTGATTCCTTTTCAACCCACTTTGCCGCACTCTCACTGTTTCCCCCTTCCTAATTCTTGGCCTGGATCTCAAAGCTCGGTTCTGCCCGCATTTTTTCATTCTCAGAATCTCCCCCGTTTTCCTTCCCTTGAACCTCTTTAACTCCTGACCCAACCTGCACTTGGATTCTTCCCTTTCTCTCGGACCCTCCTCGGTCCTCCACCTGACTGACTGCGCTGTGTCCTTGGCTAGGCCTCTCTGGACTCTTTGACACTGGCCTTCACCACGCGGGCTCAGCTGGGCCCGACGCCTCCGTCATGAACCTCATCTCGGCCCTGGAGTCTCGGGGCCCCCAGCCTGGCCCCTCTGCCTCTTCGCTCCTCTCCCAGTTCCGCAGTCCTTCCTGGCAAACAGGTAAGCCCGGCGCCGACCCAGGAGGGTCCCGGTGGGATTGGTTTGTGGTCTGCTCTGACCTACGGTCTCCTCCTCAGCCATGCACACGCCAGGCCCCACGGAGCTGTTCATCTCAGGCGCCCTGCCAGGTTCCAGCACCTTCCCATCCTCCTCTGCCCTCTCGGCCTACCAACACCCCGCTTCCTTTGGCAGCCGCCCCTTTCCCGTGCCCTCATCCCTCAGCCTCCAGGACCCCCCATTCAGTCCCCCTGCTAACGGGCTTCTGTCCCCTCATGACGTGTTGCACCTGAAGCCCTCACAGGCACCCACAGTGTCCTCCTCCCTGGGCTTTGAGCGCCTGGCGGGAGGTGGTGTCCTGGGGCCTGCCAGTCTGGGCCCAGCTCAGACCCCTCCTTACCGTCCCGGCCCCCCGGACCCACCCCCACCTCCTCGCCACCTCCCGACTCAGTTCAATTTGCTGGCTTCCTCTTCTGCTGCTGCCGCCGCCGCCGCCGCCGCCGAGCAGTCCTCCCCCCAGCTCTACAACTTCTCCGGTGCTGCCCCGGGCCCCCCGCCGCCCGAGCGGGCCCTGCCCCGCCAGGACACTGTCATCAAGCACTACCAGCGGCCGGCCAGCGCCCAGCCCCCACCGCCCCCACCACCAGCCCACGCCCTCCAGCACTACCTGAGCTGTGGGGGTAGCTATCCTTCTATGAGTCACCGGGCCAACCTGGCCTGCAGCCCCTTGGGTGGTGGGGAGCCCTCCCCGGGGGCTGGGGAGCCGAGCAAGGCCGGGCCTAGTGGAGCGAATGCTGGGGCGTCGGGCCGGGCCACGGGCCCGGAGGCGGCTGGAGGAGGCGGAGCAGGGGGTGGTGGCGGCGGTTACCGCCCTATCATCCAATCACCGGGTTACAAGACGGGCAAAGGCGGTTACGGGGCAGCTGCGGGGGCCGCCACCAGGCCCCCACCGCCCCGCTCCACCGCCACGCCTAAGTGCCAGAGCCTTGGGGGGCCGGCAGCAGCCTACGCTTCCGGGAAGGGCCCCGGGGCTGGCGGGGCAGGGGGCCAGGCCTACTCCCCCGGTCAGCCCCAAGGGCTGCTGGGACCCCAGGCCTACGGGCAAGGGTTTGGAGGGGGACAGGCACAGGACTTGAGCAAAGGCCCCAGCTACTCGGGGGGGCCCCCGCAGCCTCCAGGTGGCCCCCCTCCTCCTGGTCTGGCCACGTGTCAGAGCTACTCTCCGGACCAGCTGCAGGGACAGCTCTACGGGGTGCAGGGCGAGCCGTACCCAGGGCCCGCCGCCCACTCGCAGGGGCTGCCCACCGCCAGCCCCTCGCTCAGCTACAGTACTGGCCACTCCCCGGCGCTCTCCGGCCACGGAGGGGGCTGGGGTCCCGGCTCCCTGGGCGGCGGTGGGGAGGCCAGCCCGTCCCATATCATCCGCCCGCTGCAGTCGCCGCCAGCCACTGGCCGCCCACCTGGTGTCGCCTCTCCAGGAGCCCCTGGCAAGTACCTGAGCTCGGTCCTTGCCTCAGCCTCGTTTCTGGCGCCCCCGGGAGCTGGCAGCTACGCGCCCGGCACAGGTGGTTACAAGGGCAAGGGGGACGGTTCGGAGCTCATGGCCGGCCCCGGCGGACCACCGGCTGAGCGCACCGAGGATGAGGAGTTTCTCATCCAGCACCTCCTGCAGGCCCCCAGCCCCCCGCGGACCTCAGGGGCAGATGGCTTGGTGGGCGAGGATGGGGCGGCAGATGCCTCCAAGGGACTTGGTGGGGGTGGCGGGGCCGGGGGGCCACCGGGCACACCCTACGAGTTGGCCAAGGAGGACCCTCAGCGGTACCACCTGCAGAGCGTTATTCGTACCAGCGCCAGCCTCGATGAGGGGGCCACAACAGCCCTGGAGCTGGGCCTGGGGAGGCTGAAAGAGAAGAAGAAAGGGTCAGAGCGGGGCGGTGAGACCCCCGAGGGCTTGGCCACCTCTGTGGTCCACTATGGGGCCGGTGCCAAGGAGCTGGGGGCCTTCCTGCAGAAGAGCCCGCCGCCCCCACCGCCCTCGGCCCAGGCCGCCCAGCCCACGCCCCACAGCCTCCTCCTCGAAGCCGGGGGCCCCGACCTCCCATTGGTGCTGCCTCCCCCTCCCCCCCAGCTTCTGCCCTCGGTTCTCAGCCACGCCCCCAGCCCTTCTCCCGGCGCCCCCAAAGTTGGCGTCCACCTCCTTGAGCCGGCTGCCCGGGATGGAGCCCCCCAGCCGCCGCCGCCTCCCCCGCCGCCACCCCCCATTCCTCTCCAGCTCGAGGCGCACCTCCGTAGCCATGGCCTGGAAGCTGCCGCCCCCAGCCCCCGCCTGCGCCCCGAGGAGAGCCTGGAGCCTCCGGGGACCATGCAGGAACTGCTCGGGGCCCTGGAGCCCCTGCCTCCGGGGCCCGGGGACACCGGTGTGGGCCCCCCAAACGCGGAGGGGAAGGACCCGGCGGGTGCCTACCGCAGCCCCAGCCCGCAAGGCCCCAAGGCCCCCCGCTTCGTGCCACTCACCTCCATCTGCTTCCCTGACTCTCTGCTCCAAGATGAGGAACGCAGCTTCTTCCCCACCATGGAGGAAATGTTTGGTGGAGGGGCAGCTGAAGACTACGGCAAGGCCGGGCCACCTGAGGACGAGGGTGACCCCAAGGCGGGTACCGGGCCACCGCCAGGCCCCCCAGCCTATGATCCCTATGGGCCCTACTGCCCAAGTCGGGGGTCCGGAGGTGGGCCGGAGACACCGGGCCTGGGTCTGGACAAGCCCCCTGAGCTGCCCTCTACCGTCAACGCTGAGCCCCTGGGCCTGATTCAGAGCGGGCCCCACCAGGCCGCGCCGCCACCCCCACCGCCACCGCCACCCCCACCGCCCACCTCTGAACCCAAGGGCGGCTTGACCTCGCCCATCTTCTGCTGTACAAAGCCAAAGAAGCTGCTGAAGACGTCCTCCTTTCACCTGCTCAGACGTCGAGACCCACCCTTCCAGACGCCCAAGAAGCTCTACGCCCAGGAGTATGAGTTCGAGGCAGATGAGGACAAGGCCGATGTGCCTGCTGACATCCGCCTCAACCCCCGCCGCCTGCCCGACTTGGTGTCCAGTTGTCGCTCCCGCCCGGCCCTCTCACCCCTGGGTGACATCGATTTCTGCCCGCCGAACCCCGGGCCCGACGGCCCCCGGCGCCGAGGCCGCAAGCCCACCAAGGCCAAACGCGATGGCCCGCCCCGGCCCCGAGGGAGGCCCCGCATCCGTCCACTGGAGGTCCCCACCACGGTGGGGCCTGCCTCTGCCTCCACACCCGCTGACGGGGCCAAGAAACCCCGGGGCCGGGGCCGGGGCCGGGGCAGGAAGGCGGAGGAGGCGGGGGGCAACCGGCTGGAGCCCCTGAAGCCGCTGAAGGTGAGGGGACGCCGTGTCCTGAAGGGAATGGGGGCTGGACTCCTGGGCCTGACGGAGGAAAGGGACTAGGGGTACAGCATCCGGGGGCTGGGGGCGGGGCCCTGATACCCACCACCCCCACATCTAGATCAAGCTGTCTGTACCCAAGGCGGGCGAGGGCCTGGGCGCTTCGTCCGGCGACGCCGTGTCGAGCACCGACCACAACAGTCTGGACTCGAGTGTGACGCGGGAGAGGATCGAAGCCAAGATCAAGGAGGTTGAGGAGAAGCAGCCGGAGATGAAGTCGGGTTTCATGGCCTCCTTCCTGGACTTCCTCAAGTCTGGCAAACGCCACCCGCCGCTCTACCAGGCCGGCCTGACGCCCCCGCTCAGCCCCCCCAAGAGTGTGCCGCCCCCGGTTCCGGCCCGTGGCATGCAACCACAGCCTCCCTCCGCACCGGCCCTGCCGCACCCGCCACCCACCGGCGCCTTCGGGCTGGGGGGCGCTCTGGAGGCCGCCGAGAGCGAGGGGCTGGGCCTGGGCTGCCCCTCGCCCTGCAAACGCCTGGACGAGGAGCTCAAGCGGAACCTAGAGACGCTGCCCTCCTTCTCCTCGGATGAGGAGGACTCGGTGGCCAAGAACCGTGATCTGCAGGAGAGCATCTCGTCGGCCATCTCTGCCCTTGACGACCCGCCCCTCGCTGGGCCCAAGGACACCCCTGCCCCGGACGGACCCCCCTTGGCCACTGCAGCTGCGGTTCCAGGGCCCCCCACCCTCTCAGCGCTGCCCAGTGCTGCCAGTGATGGCACCCCCGGTAAGTTCCGGGGAGGGCGCTGAGAGGCGTCGGGTTGGGGCATTGGGATTGGGTTCTGTGGGCTCATCTCCTAAGACGTGGTTGTCCAGGAGACTTGAGCAGGTCGAGCGCTGATGAAGGCCCACCGTTTAGTGGCTGATGTTGTTGTTGTTTTTTTTTTTAATGTAATTTGTCACTGCAGGGCTTTTGGGGGTCTTGTGAGAAAGTTCTTGATTTCTGTTTAGCACAGGGACATAATGTGGGTAGCAGTGGCCCCAGGGTAGGTGCTGGAGGCTGCTGGGAGCCAGGTAATGGGGTACTAAGTCAGAGTGGGGCCTGAGAAGGGCTTGAAGGAGTAGACATTTTGCAAGATAAGGGGCAGAGGGGTATCTGGGAGACAGGAGCTTGGTGAGAGTGAGTTAAAGAGTATCAGGGACAGTGAGTGACTGAGAGGGATTTGGGTGAAGTCAGGGGGGGACAGGCTGAGGGTCCGCTAGATTTGGAGCAGGTGTTCTTTCTTGAGAGAGGCCTTGGAGGAAACAAGGGGTTTTTATGGTGGGGGCCCAGGCATTGGATGATGGGAAGGGTGGAGATGAGGGGCTCTGCGGACAGTTTAAGGAGCCTGCAGGCTCAGAGTGGTCTCGGGGGTCGCTCCTCTGTGTGCTGTGGGGTGCTGTGAGTCCGAAATGGCTCACCAGCAGTGGGTTTGGTTTTTAGGTTTAGAACTGCCCCGTAGGGTCTCCAAGGCTGTAATTTTCATGGAAACTGTCTGCTGAGCAGCTGGAGGGTTCGAACCGCTGACCTCCCAGATAGCACTCAAATGTATAACCATTGCACCATTGGGGTTCCTTCCTATCCAGAGTACAGCCGAGGAAAGCTTATAGGGCAGTTCTTCTCTTGTTATATGGGACCACCATGAGTCACATTAGACTTGAAGGCTTCAGCTCACAGTGGCAAAGGCTGGTGGGTGGGGACTTGAAGGACATAAGGCCTGCAGATATAAAGGGAGGTACGTGGGGGGCCCGCAACTTTGGCCCTCCCACCCTGAAGCCCGTCTCTCCCCCAGAGCCCCCTCTGCTGGAGGAGAAGCCCCCGCCCTCCCCGCCACGGGCACCCACTCCTCAGCCACCACCACCGCCAGCCCTGCCGTCTCCACCCCCTCTGGTGGCCCCCGCCCCCAGCTCACCGCCGCCGCCGCCGCCACCACCACCGCTACCGCCACCCACACCTGTGCTGCCCCCCCCCCCACCCCCGCCACCACCACCGCCTCTACCAGCCGCCACTCCTCCTGAGGAGCCCACCACCGCCCCGTCCCCCGAGGACTCGGAACCGCCCGACGCCCGTCCCCTGCACCTGGCCAAGAAGCAGGAGACAGCGGCCGTGTGCGGCGAGACGGACGAGGAGGCGGGCGAGAGCGGTGGGGAGGGCATCTTCCGTGAGCGGGATGAGTTCGTCATCCGAGCTGAGGACATCCCTTCCCTCAAGGTGAGTGTCTGAGCTCGCCCATACGATGGGGCCTGTGGGTGGACCAAGCGCTTGCTGGCTGGCATCGACTCCCCAGTCCACGGAGTTGAAAGAGGTGTTCTGTGGCGATATCTGGAGGCATTCCAAGATGTTACTCTGACACATACGTGTCTGCGTGCCCACGTGGGTGTGTCCTTGGACGTGTTGGCAGGTGGGACCGGATCCAGGAGGGTCTCATGCTTGGTACAGTTGAGAGTCAGCAACAGACAGGAAGGCTTTCGATGAGATGGACTGACACTAGCCGAAATGCTGGCCTCCAACACGGCGGTGATCACGAGGCTGGTGCAGGTCGGGGCGGTGTTTTGTGATAGCTCACGTAGTCACTCCAGGAGTCAGGACCAACTTGACAGTGTCTAACAGCACTGTGCCTGTGTTGGAGGCCTTGGGTCCTGTGAATAGTTAATTAAGTGCTGGCCAGTGAGCTGAACAGTTGGCGGGGCAGGTCCACTCAGAGGCCCCTCGGCAGAGAAGCCTGGCAGTCCACTAGGAACAACTGGAGCAGAGTTCTTGTCAGACACACGTAGGGACGCCACAGGGAAGAAACAGCTCCTTGGCAACGGGTTGGTTGGGTGCTGAGTGTGTAATAACTACAGGTGTGCTAAGATGGTCGGCAGTGTTTATTGAGGATGCTTTATGTGCTAGAAGTTTCTCTGGGTCCTGAGTGGTGGTGTTGGGTGCTGCTGGGTCTGTTCTATGCGTAGGGACCCCGTTTCACAGAGTAGAGCTGCCCCGTGCTGTGTTTTCTTTTTGTTTTTTTTTCAAATGTGATTTGGGTGAAAATTGACAGCACTTTCACTTTCTATACAGCAGTTTACTCGCATTTTGTGTCCTAACATTGACATCAATTTCCCACAATGCATCAGCTCTCTTTCCACTTCCTGCCCATAGTCACCTCTTCTCTGTGTCCATCCCTCCATGCACTCCTGCCCTCTGAGCTGTCTCCTTGTGCATAAACAGCCCTTCTTTCTCCCATGATTGTTCTCTCCAAGGAGTGTATCTACCTAATGTAAATGTTCAGCGTGTATGCCTGTCTTTTGTTTGGCTGGAAGCCAAGGTGTGGGTTCGATCCCAGAACTAAAAGTCAGTTAGGGACCATAGTCTCAGGGGTTCTACCAGGCTCTATCAGACCAGAAAACCTGATCTTGTTTCTTAATAATTTTGAGTTTTGTTTCCACATTGTTCTCCCTCTCTATCCAGGATCTCCTACACAGATCCCGCTCTGAGTGGTTGATAGGGATAGCCGGGCACCATCTAGTTCTTCTGGTCTCATAGTCATATAGGCTGTGGATTGCATGGTGTACCAGTGCCTTGGACTAATTGTTACCATGAATCTTTGGTTTTCTTCACTCTTCTTGGCTCTGGATGAGGAGAGACCCATCGTTGCATCTAGATGGCTTCTTGCAAGCTTTTAAAATCCCAGTTGCTACTCACCAAAGCAGGATGTGGAATAATGTTTTTGTGTAGTATGCTATGCCAGTGAGCTTGATGTCCCCTGCGAACGTGGTCCTGAGCCCACAGGTCCAACTACTCACTTTCTCTGGGTAGCTGGCTGTGGCCAAGAAGTCACCACAACCTTGTCCCTTGTCAGCTCTACTGTATATCTGGACGTCTTACAACACATACCAATCCATGCGAATACACCCGAAGACATACATAACCCATAAATATAATAGCTAATATTTTGGGGTGCAGTGGTTAAGGCGTTAGCTGCTAACTTAAAAAGTTGGTGGTTCAAACCCACCAGCCGCTCTGTGGGAGAAAAATGAGGCAGTCCGCTCCTGTAAAGAAACCCTGTGGGGTAGTTCTACTCTGTCCTCTAGGGGCGCTGTGGGTCAGAATGGACTCCATGGCACTGGGTGTGGTTTGGGCTTTGCTTGTAGAAATATTGTCTGCCAGCCTACAGGCACTCTCCCCCCTGCCTAGACAGACCTGATCTTTCAGCCTGTCTACCCATCTGTGCACCATGGACCAATGTTTGCCATTGTTGACCACGCAGTACTGTATGTGCAGAAGGGTTCATCTTTGTTGTCTGTATCTCCCACGCACCTCTCTCTGTCTCCCTCTTCAACACCACCATGTTGGTCACTCACACTTGGTGCCCCGTAGGATTTCCTAGACTGTCCTTCTTACTGACAGCACAGGGCTTGGTGGAGCCACTGGGTGGCTTCAAACCGGTAACCTGTGAGTCAGCAGCTTAGTGCTTCCCCATTCACACCACCAAGGCCCCGTGGGTGAAGCCCTGCTCTTTTGGACCCTTTAATGGAAACATCTAGGACAGACAACTTTGTGGTTTGTATTACAGTGATGGACACTACACTGTCCACACAACAAACCTGTAGTAGTTTTCTAGGACTTTGCTAACAAAGTAACGTAGGGTGGGTGACATCAAAGAGCCAAGGTTCGTCATGTCACGGTTCTGGAGGCTAGAAATCTGAATTTAGGGTATTGGCTGGGCCATGTTCCCTAGGCAGGTTCTGGGGGAATGTCCGTCCTCACCTCTCAGTTTCTGGTAGCCCTTTATGCTCCTTGCGTGGAAACCTCAGGATAGTTCCCTGGTCAAATGGCAGTCTTCCCTCGTCTGCCTCTATATCTCTTCTCCTTTTTTGTAAGGATGTCACTTAATGGATTAGGGCCCACCCTCCTCCAGTCTGACCTCACGTGACCCTAACTGAAAACACCTTCAGAGATCTTTAAACAAGCTCATGTTCACGGGCATTGAGGTCAAAACTAATGCATGTATTTCTAGGGGACGTGCTTCAATCCATGCAAATACACCCAAAGGCACACATAACCTATAAATACAATAGCTAATATTTTGGGGTGCAGTGATTAAGGCGTTAGCTGCTAACCAAAAGGTTGGTGGTTCAAACCCACCAGTCACTCTGTAGGAGAAAGATGAGGCAGTCTGTTCCTATAAAGAAACCCTGTGGGGTAGTTCTACTCTGTCCTCTAGGGGCGCTGTGGGTCAGAATCGATGGGGTTTGCTCCTGCACGGATGACAGCCTTGGAAACCCTGTGGTGCAGTTCCACTCTGTCCTCTAGGGGCGCTGTGAGTTGGAATCGACTCCACAGCAGTGGGTGTGGTTTGGGCTTTGCTTCTGTAAAGATTGACAGCCTAGGAAACCCTGTGGGGCAGTTCCACTCTGTCCTCTAGGGGCGCTGTGGGTCAGAATGGACTCCATGGTAGTGGGTGTGGTTTGGGCTTTGCTTCTGTGAAGATTGACAGCCTTGGAGACCCTGTGGGGCAGTTCCACTCTGTCCTCTAGGGGCGCTGTGGGTCAGAATGGACTCCATGGTAGTGGGTGTGGTTTGGGCTTTGCTTCTGTGAAGATTGACAGCCTTGGAGACCCTGTGGGGCAGTTCCACTCGGCCTTGTAGGGTGACTATGGGTCAAAATTGACTCAATGGCAGTGGATTTTTTTGGTCTTTTCCTGGGTGTCAGGGTGCCCTGGTGGCACAGTGCTTAAAAGCTTGGCTGCCAACTGAAAGGTCAGCCGTTTGAACCCACTGTCTCTGCAGGAGAAAGATGTGGCAGGCTGCCTCCGTAAACATGACAGCCTTGGGAACCCTGGGGGCAGCTCTACCCTGTCTTAAGGGTTGCTCTGAGTTGGAGTCATCTCAGTGGGAATGGGTTTTTGGACTGGGCAGTCTACTTCTGTAGAGATAATGCCTCAGAAACCCAAAGAAGGGTCACTATGAGTCAAAACCAACCACGCTGCAGTGAGTTTACGTGACAGGGTGTGTCGGAAATGTTTTTTCCTAGACCAGCTCACTCAGTGTTTGCTTTTCCTGTCCTCCAGGGGCTGTCACCCTGCACCCCACAGGCCAAATCCAGGCCACTCCTGTTTTTTCAATAAAGTTTTATTGGAATCCTCCAACTCCCACTCACTTTCATATTATCTCCAGCTGTTTTGCTGAGTGGAGTGGCCTGCAAAGCCTGGCATATTTACTCGGTGTCCTGTTACAGAAAAAGTCTGATCTCTACCCTACAGAGTTGGTTGACCGGTAGACTTGGATAAAACGATTAAGGTACTAGGTGACCAGCTAGTCCTAGCTGGTCAGCTGGTACATGACCAGCTCTAGGTGACGTCAGCTGCCCGTGTGATGCTTTGCAGGATATGAGATAAAACGGAGGTCAGTTAGGTCACCCTGACTGTGGCACCAGGGGTCATGGCCATTCCACAGTAACCGGAAAAAAAAGAAAAACCAAACCCAGTGCCATTAAGTCGATTCCGACTCACAGCGACCCCCATTGGGTTTCCAAGGCGGGGTGGCTGGTGGGTTTGAACTGCCACCCTTCTGGTTATAGCAGTCAGATGCTTCAGGCGTCGTGCCACTGAGCTCTCTTCCACAGAAACGGTTCTGTAGATTGGTCATCAGTTACGGAGCATGCTCAGTACTCAGTCCTCGATGGGCCTTGTTTCTGTGTTTCTGTTGAGTCACTTCCGACTGGTGACAACCCGACGTCTTACAGTAGACTTCCTCCATAGGGTTTTCTTTTTTATTTTTAATTGTGATTTAGGTGAAAATTTACAGAACAAATTCACTTTCCATGCACCAGTTCACGTACACTTTGTCTCATGACATTGACTACAATTTCCCACAATGCAACACCTCCCCACTTACTTCCTCCCGACAGTCACCTCCTCCCTGTGTCCATCCCTCCATGCACTCCTGCCCCCCGAGCTGTCTCCCGGTGCATAAGCAGCCCTTCTTTCTCCCATGATTGTTCTCTCCAAGGAGTATATCTACCTCAGGTAAATGTTCAACTTATATGCCTGTCTTTTGTTTGGCTGGAAGCCACAGATGTGGGTTCCATTCCAGACCTGAAGGGCAGCTAGGAGCCATAGTCTCAGGGGTTCCACCAGGCTCTATCTGACCAGTAAACCTGGTCCCTCTTTTGTTTTTCTACATGCTTTTGAGTTTTGTTGCACATTGTTGTCCCTCTCTAACCAGGATGT